GTCCCGGTGGACAGACGATGAGTGCAGACGAGAGGGCGGTGGTCCAAGCTCCAAAGAGTATGATAGGTTTGCCAGTGTGAGGATCGTCCGCCCCAGGTGGCCGTCGCCCTCGTCATTGCCAGTGCGTCGTCAAGTGCCAGTGTCAAGTCGTCCCCAGAGAAATAGCAAAGTCGGAGTCCGTCTGGCACCGCAGGACACCCACAGAACCACCGCATGGCGCGTCTCCGAGCGTGGCTCGCCGTGCCCGCGTCGCTGACATGAGTGACGCAAGCAAAGGGTTGAGTCATCGTCACGTGCTGCTGATCAACCATATGCTGCTTCCGCTGAGCGTCCATGTGCGCTGGCGACGCGTTGCCTGGGCGACCCTCGCAAGAGAGGGGGACGACTGGTGGGCCTCCTCAGCCACAGGGCGGCGGCACGTAAAGCTCACTGGGCTAGGGCGCGGCCCTAATCAAGAGGTAATGAAGAGGAGGCAACGATACGAAAGGGGCAGCACGCTTGGTGACGGGGCTGGCCGGGGAGCGCAATAGCGACGCTGCAGCGCGGGATGCGCGTCCAGAGGCTATTGGCAGGGAGAATGAGGAGGAGGAGGAGAAAAGGACTGGCCACCAAGTGCGTGTTTTTTCAGTTTCCTGGACTGAATCAGACTCATTCTCTTTTTTTATCGGTGCCAGCTCAAGCACTCGCACTCTTCCCGGCGGGCCAGTCATGCCGTTCCGGCCCAATGTCCACTCGCTCTCTGTCTCGCTCCTGTTCTCGCCCCCATGACCTGCCATCCACGACTGCTGACTGATGAATCTGTCCGACGTGGGTGGCCCTGGCATCCGTCGACGTCCCCCCACGGCCCCGTGCTCAGGCTACCTGAATCTTCTTCACCTGCTTATCTCGGCTACGCTGCCCAATCGTCCGCGCGCCAATGAGCATCGCGCAATGAGGCAACAGCAGCAGGATCCGGGTCCAGGCCTGCCTCTCCCGAAAATGGAGTGCCATTGGCACGGCCGTCGTCGGGTTCCAACAAAGAGCCTCCCGCTAGACACACAGGCACGCGGCGTCTTTGTCCGTCTTATTCGTCGTCATTCTCCGATTTACAATTTACAGACGCCGCGCCGACGACGGGCACTGCTTCCGCGTACCTTGACTGCAGGTGCCTCCGGTTGCAAGTTGCAACGACCATCCAGGGACTGCAGCAGCAGCGCGTGACCCTCCGAAACCTCGCGCGGCGACCCGCGCAATCGCCATCGATAACGGCTGCATCGATACCGGAGGTAAGTATTCGGCCGCCACGGGGCCGGCCCCCGGGGCGAGATAGGGTTCCCGTGGGCAATGATGGGCGGACGAGTGTGATCGCGATTCGCGGCTGACGCAATGGCGCTGCGGGTGGCCCGGATCTCGCGCCAGCGATGCAACAATAGGACGGCTGACGATGCCACGACGAAGCGCAGACACTCTGGCCCGACGAGCCCGGCGCCGCCCGCTGTGTCTAGCCAACCTTTGTGCTATTTTCTGCCGCATCTCCGCGGCGCCCCGCGCGAATTCAAGTTGTGTGGTTTCACCTGCACACCAGCAACACCGCCTCCCGGCCGGCAACTTGAGCGGCGAAATTCAGTTGGAACAAAGGGATGGACGCCGGGGCCCGGTGGGTACTCGGATGCGGAGGCATACACGACCCCACGGAAACGGCTGGGCACCTGCACAGCAACAAAGAGAAGCACGCCGACCGGGGTGGGCCTCCGACGCGCCCGGACACGGGTGCCTTACGACAACACGCCTAGGGCGACAAAGGAAGGTGCGGACCGGGGGCCGGTAGCGGACGCCCACACGCGGATAGGGTCGTCAACGGGGACGCTGGGAAGCTCGCGCGGTCTGGGCTGGCATGGGCCCGCCATCCGGCCGGCGCACAGTGATTAATCTCATGCTTTCCTTCTTCTGTTCGCGGCCTGCAACCGTCTTCGCGCTTCCCCTCCGAGGGCTGGTCTTTCATTCGTGCGTGTCTCGCTCCCGGGCGGCGTCACGCTTTCTGATTGCGCGTCCACACAGCGATAATCAGAATCAGGCGGGCTGCCTTCCTCCCCTGTTCAGCCAACACCGCGGACTACCTACTGTCCTTGGTTATGGCGTCGTGGAGCCGGCAGATGGCTGGCGCGAGCGCCCACGGCCGCGTGCCTGGCTTACCAACACCCACACCCACGCACACACACGGGGCGTGCCTCGACGGGCTATTAATAAGTCCATGACGGCGAATCGATCGACACAGGCTATGTTTGGGAGGTCTCCTTCACATCTGCGGGCGTCGGTGTGTTCGCCGTCGTCGTGGTTTGCTCTTCATTTCCGAGCGGGCTGGGCTGCGTTCGGTGTACCCGTATGCCAAATTGGGGGCGGCGCGTTCAGGCTCTTCTTCTGTCTCCGTGCAAGTTCATTACCGCCTCCGGCTCATTCAAACCGCCTGCAGCGACGAGTCAAGGCCCAGCCTCGGGCCAGGCGACGGTCCGGTGCCAATATGGACGAAGGCGGCGGGTTCGGATTCTCGGGTTCCGTGCGTCAGTTAGGCTTTAGGCAGGTCGAGCTCACTGCACGATGCGCGGTCGCCGGTGTGTCGTCAGTTCTCGTCGTGGACTTGATTAATATTCGGACCGCCAGATCGTCGGACCCCACTGCAGTTCGCGCGGCAGGACGCAGAGGCTAACGCGACATCAGAAGTGTCAAAGGCCGTCAAACACAGGCATAAGCATAAGCTCAAGCTCGCGGGCTTGTGCTTGTGCTTGTCCCCGTCCTTGTGCTTGGCCTCTAGCGAAGCGCCAAGCTGTCGGGCGGGCACGGTGGCGCGGTCGAGAGCGCTCCAGCCTTCGAATTCGAAGACCGCAGACGCCGGGGATATGTGCGCTGCGATGGAAGCAGCGGGCGCCAAGCGGACGTAGGAAGAAAGCCTGCCCAGAGGGTACGGGCCTGCCCAGAGGGTACGCGTACGGGGCACCGGTGGATGCCAGATGCGGACGCGGGAATAGCTGGTTCTGGCGGCGATGATGTGATGAAGTGGTGGTGCCGTCCGTCGATTAGGCTTTGTCCGTGCACACTCGTGGCGCGGGCCTCAGGCATGGACTGTGCGCCAGCCCGTCGGTGCCGCCTAGATCTCCCCTTCAGGCGAAATGAAATGAATGGGGCTTATCAACAGGACGCGAAGCGCGCGCCTCTTTGAGTCTTTGTTCGAACAAAGGCAGGGGGCAGTGCGGCACTAATAGCTGTTCGGGATCACGTCCCGTGGCGATGGCCCGCTGGTAATACGGTATGCCTTCTCGCGCATTTATGTGCTCGTGATGCCCTGCCGTGGCCCGTGCGCTAGCGTTTTGGTCCCGCGGGACGTCCGACCGCTGACGAGCGCAGCACAACGCAATCAGCTTCTAGCGCGCTCGACGGCGATGCGGCCGTCTCTCCGTGGGCGGTGCGTCAGCGTCAGCGTCAGCGCCAACGCCCACACTAGCGCAAGAGCAGCTAGCGCCCTTCGATTTCGCTAAGCAGAAGACAGAAGAAGACGAGAAGTGGGCGTGCGACCCGCCAGCCGCATCGGGCTAGCCGGCGTGACGCGTGACGGCTGCCTTATCGGGCAGGGCGTGCCCAGATCTCGATCGTGCGGTCCTGGATCTGCACCCGTGGCGTGGCGTGGCGTGGCGTGGCGTGGCGTGGCGTGCCGGCAGCCCCAACGAGCCAAGCCCGGGGGCGCGTGGCGTGGCATATAAAGGCTGGGCACTGCGCAGGACAGGCTATCCCCCTCGCTCCACTCTCCACATAACAACCAACCACCACCCACAAACAACGATGCCCTGCTGCTCTTCCCGCGCTGCCCTCGCTGCCACCGTCGCCCCCGCTCCCGCTGTTGCTCCCGCTGCGACGGTCCCGATATCGCGCGCCGCCGATCCCGCCCACACACCTTGCAACTTCGGCGCGGGCGGCGTCTCCGGCGCGACATGCGCGGCCTGCGGCTGGGTCAACACCCACGCGTGCGTCTTTGTCATCCCCCGCCTTGCTGCCCTTTGCTGACCCGTGTCCCAGGCCCAACTGCCCGTGGAAGTAACCGTCTTGTCTGCGACTGCTGTACTATCTATCTATCCACCTGTTGTGTGCGTCCGCTGTCCCCTCCCCTCCTTTGCCCGGCTGACCTGTGGGCAGATTGCTATTGCTATTCTGCCCGCTGTCGTGCTGCTCGCTATGTATGCATACGATCCCCCTAATCGCTTCGCACCCGCACCCGCGCGGGTTGTATTTGTATCTGTAGGACGGGAAGAGGGAAGGGGAGAGGCCTCTCCAGCGGACTCGTACGGAGAGGGATCAGACGTTCGAGAGGAGGAGAGGAACTTGCGATGGCGTGCGCGGCACACTCGGAGGACAGCCCGGGGCCGGCGGCAACGATGGGCGATCCTTCTACGTGGCCACGGGGAGTCGGGTGGCGGTTGTATGGTATCTTGATCGTTAAGACTGCGGATCCAAGTATCAAATTGCCAGTTGACTCAAAATCTTGTTTAAAAAAATGAACCACCATCTCTTCTTTGTCCTGGGTATTGAGAACGGCCCGCGTCGAACGGGCCGTCGCCGTGACCTATAATTGATCTTCCAGATCGTTGCTGTTGAAACTCGGTCCCTGCGCGTCGTCGAGTCCTAGCCCCTAGCGCCGTTGCGATGCACGTGAAATGCAGGTGGCCGTGGCGCGCACGTGACGGGCTGGTCTGTGCGCCGGAGTCTGTTTGTTTCTCACGCCGCCACCGCTCTTTGCTTCTGCTTCCCACCGCCCTTGTTCGTCGCGGCGGCCCCACATACGACGATGGGAACGCGCGACGCGGGACAAGGCGGGTGGATACACTATCGTCAAAGAACAAGGGTCCTTGTTCTTCGGGGTGCGCTTATAATCCGCCTGCCGCGCCCCAGTCCCCTGCGCTGCGTTGGCTCACCACTGCGCGCCACGCCAGACCTACAGCGACACTCTCCTTTACAACAGGCACTTCACGACTTAGATGGCGTACTGGCCGACGAGCGGCGCCTACTACTGGACCACGTGGCCGCCGCTCGGGGACACGGCGTACGCGTATCGGTGTGTGCTTCCTCGGCTCTGACAAATGTCTGACCATCCTAGGACGCCCTATGTCTGGCCCGCGTGCGCCGGGGCGCCATCGGCTATCACCCCGGGACCGGCGCCGCCGATACCGCTCGCGCCCCCGGGGCCACCGCCGATGCCGCCGCCGTACTACGGGCAGCCGCTGCCCACGAGCGCACCGGCGGCCCCAGTGGCCAGACCCGCCGCACAGATGCAGGCTGCATGGATGTCGCCGTACTATGCCCAGCCCCCGCCGAGCAGCGCGCCGCTCCCGCTGCCCCGCCCGCACTCGGCCGCGCCCGGCCCCGCGCCTCCGAATATCCCAGCGTGGGCGACGGAGCGCGAGCCCGGCCCGCCTCCCGGGAGCGCACCGGCGTGGGCACGCAGCGCAGGATCTGTGGGTTCACCACCTCCACGCATGTGGCCGGACGACCCCTGGGGCTTCGCGGACGAGCATGCGCCGCCCCCGATGACCGCACCGGCGCGTCTGCAGCAACGGCCGGCGCATAGGGCCAGCCCTGGCGGGACGTTGCTCTCCCCGCCGCCGCCGTACGCTAGGAGAGATCCGGCCGAACTTGAAGAAGAGGAAGAAGAGGAAGACGAGGACGGAGAGGAGTTTTACGGCGAGGATGAAGAGGGAGATCACTGGGGCGAATTCGGCCGTGGAAGACAGCCGTCGGGCCCGGATCCCTGGGGATCCGCAGCTGCATTCGGGCCGGCGGCGGGCCCGAGCATGCCGCCCGCGCCGTGGGACGGCGCTGCACGTGGCAGACAGCCTGCGCCGGCGCCCGCCACACCACCCGCACCCCGGCCGCGCGCCCACTCATTCTCCGGTGCCACCGCCCCGGCAGTCGCGCCGCCGCCGGGCGTGCCGACCCTCCCCTTGGCTCAGTACGCCTATACGTGGCCGCAGTTCACGAATCTTTGGGCGGCTCATGCCCAGTACGCACCTTCCCAACCGATGGCGTGGCCGTCAGGGCGGGTCATCCCGTCGGCTCCGGTCACACAGCCGATGGCCTGGCCGGCCGGCCCCGTGATCCCATTCACGCCGGTCATCCACCCGATGGCCGCGACTCCGGTCGGCCCAGCCCAGCGGCGCGGGATCACCGTGCCGCAGCACAAGCTCGCGAAGCCGCCCTCGACTAAGAGCTGGTGGCCGCGGTGCCGCAGCAAGTCGCGCGAGCCGCGGCCCCCTTCGCACCGCGGCACCTGGATGCGTCAGGACTGATATGGAGGATTGTGCAAGCCCGGACTTGGGAGGGACGCGACGGAAGTAGACACTGCACTATGAATGGACTGCTATGAATATATGTACTTATGCCTGTGGACTGTTTCAGTTGGCGGGCTGTGGAGTATGTGAAGAGTGGAGGATGGACACTCTGTAAACCTATGCATCTGCTTGGATATGACCTAAAAATCAAACATTCATTTTTGTATGGATATATTGTTCACATTGAACAGGCCGTCTGTTGCAAATTGTCTGCACTTTCTGCTCACAGTTGCACATGGGCACTGCTGCCAGGTGCACTTCTAATTAGAGCATTTCCACAACCTAATGTGTACAAAATCTGCAGATGCAGGGGGCTGGAGCCCTAGAACTTGTGTCATGTGGTGTGCAGATACTCCAGCAGGAAGCCACCTGGCAGACTACAGTGCCATGTGTAGAAAGCAGCAGACAGCCCGGCCCGTTCGACACAGGCAAGGGCCATTCACCAAACAGTCCAACTTTTGAGTCCAGTGACCATTTTAATATACATTTTTATATATATATAGTGCATATAGTCCCAGGAGTCCAGATATACATAGTCCAGTGTCAGTCCTCCTCTGCGCAAGCTTCTACAGCCTCGGGACTCACCTTAAGATACGGCAGATATCTGTGAAGACTTCGTGCTTGTAGCGCAGTTGGGTGCTGAGCACCTTGTCCACCTTGAAGAAACGAGCAAGACGAGTGAGGAGGTTAAGAGTAGGAGGGAGGTTAGACGCCTCAAACCTATAGGGCAAGGTAAAATGAAGGGTGGAAAAAGCTAATGCGACCTCGCTCCACAGAGTGTCGCTCTTTATGTTGGGGGAGAGGGCTGGTGCCTGGCCAGCCTAAGGCCAAACACAAGCCGCGACACGAGCGCGTTGTTGCAGCACAAGGCGACAGGCACAGGACAAAACGGGTAGCAAGGTGCCTCCAGGCGGGCACTGAAACATGACCCAGCCAAGAATGGGGGAGTAGCAGCCAGATCGGGTTACAAGGGAGGGCGACTAGGCTCAAATTAGATATGTAGAGGCCCAGAAGGTGGGGCTGGCTTTCGAGAACAAGCGAGAGTTTGACAACTTGGGAATGTCGGCGATGATGGCGAGTAGAGAGGGAGATTTCAAACATGCCAAGGTCAGTGTTGAATCGTGTGAAAGGTGAATACGAGTGAGTGCTGGTTATTTTGGAGACTGGGAGTCATGTTTTTGTCCCATAGATCACGATCTGCCAAATCGCTGAGTCACTGGATGAGCTTGACAGCTTTGAGTACATTTTGCTTGTCGACGGGGTCCAGCAATGCTTCTGCCTCTTCCCAACTATCTCTAAGCATTATTAGTTATGTCAAAATCTGGCCGCGAGTCATTTGATAGGTAATAACAAGAAATCCTTGCTCGCTCTAAAAACTTGTTGGCTGGCACTTGATGCAATGCTTGGGATCACTAGTTCCAAGCAGGCCATGCTTAGATATCTGCAGGTTGAGGCCTGGAAGATGTGAAAGGAGTTAACCAAGTGGCATATTAACCTCAAGCTTAACAGCCATGCAAATTTTGTGCTTTGCTGCGCAAAATGTACTATCACCATCACTCATAATAGCCTATAAAGGTCATTGAACCTTCTTGCCATATTCGTTTGTTTGAAACTTAGTGATGATCGTCTCTAGCTAGGCTGCTAGGGCATCAGTCTTCTCGACTTGTCTGTGGGCGAGACGGCGATGACGATAGGAGTGTAGTGGTTGGTGCGAACATATAGAGCAATTGCTGTCACTGTAGCCTCAGACACAAGGAGAAGCTGTTGGCTAAGCAGTGCAGCTCGTAGATCTTTAAGGGCTTTGAACCTATCTACGGTGAGGTTGAAGTTGGAAGAGGTTTCACAGCTCAAACCCAGCACGCAGTTTCTCTCTTTGCAGTACCGCCCTCGTTCTTCTAACGCTACACCATCAACGCATAGAACATCCCTATCAAGTTTGTTGATGGAATCGGTTTGTGTCCAGGCGAGAAGAATGTGTCGATGTTGTGTCGGATCTCTTCAGCGCTTGGGGTTTCAACAGACGCACATAGTTTAGGTATAGTAGCTCATCTTTGGAGAGTTGTGGCAGAGGGCAAACCAACAGCCTTCTGTATTGTATATAGTAATCATGGCTTGCCGACAGCTTTGGGAAGAAAGGCAAGGTTGATGTCCCGATCGAAGAATCCACCACGGGGAGAGTAGAGACCATTTACTGCCCAACCAATCATAACAACAATCACCCGTGCAGAGCAACCTCGTTGCCGGGCAGTAGCTATTAGTCGTTGCAGTCCGGGGGTATCATAAGTTGCAAGAGGTATGCATACCTGAAACCCCCGACGTCAGGTCGGAAAAGTGAATTAGCTACTGCTGGACACCCCCCCTCCCTGTGTGACGTCACGCCACGTGATTGCACGTGATGTCCCAAAAAGGCAATTCCATGATGGGTGTTAGAAACTGGTGAAAATGTCATGCAGTACTACTAATTTCCTCTATATATAGTGTCCCTTCTTATGCTCTCCACCCACATCCACCCTGCGGACATCATTATAAAACCAATTTTGGCTGCAGGCATAGCTGGCAGGTGTGACTTGGGTGTGCCGTGGCCGTGTCATCACCACCTCAACGGAAATTCCTATCAAAATTCTTATACATGCCTCAGAAGAACCCCAAAATCTGCTTTCAATGACAATTATATGCATTCTGAGACCATTAATAGCATTCCCAGCCACTCTGTACCCTACGAAAGAAAAGTGAATTAAGGCCACCAGACCACCCCCCTCCCCTCCCCCCTGACGTCTCGGCTTGCACCGGCGCATACCCCTTGATAAGTTGCAATCATAACTTGAACTCGTTGCTCGTCGTCTAGTTTCTGTTGTAGGCAGAGATGTTGGCGCTTTAGATTGTCACTCTAAGATGCTATGAGATTTAATTACGGGTTATACCTGAGTTGTGAGTTGCTTGTTTTGTTTGACTGTATTTCTCAAGGCCGCTTGCAGCTGCCGCGAGCTTAGGAGATGGTGAAGGGAGCGTGTCAGAGCAGCTAACGGAGGCAAAGCGGTTTATGGGGGCGCTTTCTGGGTGATTGAGAGATGGTGTTCATGGAGAAAGGGCTTGAGAGGCACATCAGGAACGTGTTAATTTTTGTGGCTAGTCTTGTTTCTCTTATCAGCTTTTTAATCACCGTGCTTCGGGTGAGTGCTTGGAAGGTAAGAGACATGAATGCAGATCAGTGAAAATCACCTATGGTAATCTTCATATAAATGGACAACTGGAGTTGGGTCCGGGCAGTAAAACCCATTGAGTAACAGGTGGCGACCCCAAGGTACGAACACGTAATATCCAAGCACGAGGCTACACGAGGGACTATTGCACGAGGCTAGGTCGGCGGCCATGTTGCTTGATCCCTGCTAGCGCAAAAAGTGGACTTAGAGTGGATGCTATGCAGCACACAAAAGGAAAAGAAGGACTAGCTAAAAATTCAAAGCAACATAAATATAATAGCAGCTTCAAATAATAAAAAAGATTTATAGGAAACGCGAGTCAAGAGTGACAGACAACCCGCAACAAAATGCATAGAGTCGGGTGGCAGGGTGGTTAGCTCAGAATGCCCCTTCTTTGCGAAACCGCGCAAGGCGATAGTCAACGACTACAAACAGGATTAGCGGCCAAGTCAGAACGAAAGAGGGCCACACACTTCGAAAAGAGCGATGGCGCCTTGAGTAGAACGGTCCGCGTGGTCAACGGTGTGGTTGAAGCAGATTTCTGTGAAGAAATTAGTGTCTGGGAGAGAAAATAATAAGCGGAACGCACCCAGCTGAGCCTGATCAGCCACTTGTTTGGCCAACTCAGCCCAGATGCCGCAAATCTCACCCTCTCACCATTCCTTCAGAGCATCCAAGGAGAGTGTTGCGTTGGCGAATGAACAACAGTCGACAGCGCCAAAGACACAGTAGATATTCCGTTGGTGCAAAAGTGGCAAGCAAGGTTATGTTCGACACAATAAGAACACTTGGCTAGAGTCTGAAAAACAAGTCAGCTAGCGCAATAGGGACAACAGAGTTCGTACCGAGCCACGCGAGCAAATAGCGCAAAAAACTTCAGAGCTGTTGGGAGCAAACAGATGTTTATGGACTTTGGGGAAGACAACCTCGCCGTTAGGGCCAATCGAAGTCTCCAGAGCCATCTGAGTGTGCGGAACAGGACATTTGCTTGCAGGAGAGTGAGCTGGTGTGTTGTAAAAGATGGGAGGGGACGTGATTGTGGATGGATGGTCGAATATACAGGCCAATGGAGCTGCCATGAGGGACAGAAAGAGCCAGAAGAAAGCGCGCAAGGAAGAAATAAGAGTGCAGACAGCGATGCACTGGCACCCGGCTCTTTATAAGCAGCCTCGGGTACGGCATCTGCAGGCCAAGCCAGAAGACACCAATCACAGAGGCAATCACCGCCCGGCGATCACAGACATAATTGAGTGGGGGCACTCAAAATTTTATGTTGGGGGGGAGGTGGCGCGCGCGCTACGCGACGGGTGCTGGAAACATCCTGGAGCAACGGATACAACAGCCTTGGGCTGCCCGGGCATCGGCCCGACATGTGATATGACCGGGCCGGCGGCAGGCCGAACCGGAAATACAAAACTAGCCAATGGCAGACGTGTTTGGGTTTGAACGCGTTGCGGGTGGCTCAAACGCCCACTCAAACGCGGGGAGGTGGATAAAACACAACATGAATATGTCATGTGTGAGGTGAGACGTGTCACAAGTGGGCGAAACATTGTAGTGAAACAGCACGTGACCGTGGCTGGGGCGGCTGGGGCCATCAAGATTAGATAAATCTTGCATAAGCGAGTAGTGTATATTCAGCTCGTTTCTGTAGTAGAGAACCCAGAATTCAATGCGCCCCCCATAGTGGTTGTATTGCTTCCCATAGTGGAAAGGTTTTGATCAACGCTGACGACGACTATGAAGACTTTGAATACA